TGGGATATAATGAATAAATTGTGAAAAACAAATTAAAAAAATACTGAGAGATGTGGACATTAAAAAAAAAGGATATTTTTGAAGGGATCTGTTTGTTACATATTTATTTATCTATCTATCTATCTATTTATTTATTTATTTATTTATTTATTTATTTATTTATTTATACTTAAGTGTGTGCCTATGTGAGTTTTTGTGTACCATGTCTGTGCAGGGGCCCACAGGGACAAGAGGGCTGGAGTTAGAACCCGCAGCTGACCTAGGTGTTAGCAGCCAAGTCAGCTAAACCAAGAGCAGTAAATATTCTTAACCACCGAACTATTTCTCCAGGCCCTCAAAACTTTTTAAAATTTTGTATTTATGTGCATGTGTGTCTGTATGCTATGGGAATGCAGGTGTCTGCAGAAGCCAGAAGTAAGCTTCAGATCTCCTGGAGCTGCAGTTCCAGGAGGTTGTAAGATGTTCAGTGTGGGTTCTTGGTACCCAACATGGGTCTTTTGGGAGAACTAGAAGCAGTCTTACCTACTGATCCACGTCTCCAGCTGTAAATTACAGTTACTTATGGGGAGTGGTATATGTATCATAGCACACATCTGTGGGTCAGAGAACAATTGTTGGGGATTTTTTTTCCATCTACCATGTAGGTGCCAGGGTTCAAAATCAGGTTGCAGGCAAGTGCCTTTACCAGATGAGCCATGCCAGTGTGTGTGTGTGTGGGGGGGGGGGGGGGGGGGAAGAGTTGTTTCATTTGACCCTGAGTTTTGAGACAGAGTCTCACTACATAGTCCTGCTAACCTGAAACTTGCTGTGTAGACCAATCTGGCCTAAAACTCACAGATCTACCTGCCTCGGCCTTCAGACTGCTAGGATTAAAGGTGTGTACTAGTACGCCCAGCATGTATTATTTCTCTTCATGGGTAATCTAAAGAAAGAACTCTGTTTAAAATCGCCCGCTTACCTTTGGATCCACCCTGTGGTTCAAGCTTCCTGAAAGCTCAGTCCAGAGCTAAGCTGATTACTAGGTAAGAGGCAAAGAGCCTTCCCCAGTAGTTCACCTTTCACCCAGAAGATGTCTGCCTTTCCTAGAGCGTTGTGGGTCATCCATTCAGTCTTAGACTCCTGAGAGACAAGTCTATGCAAAATAATGTTAATTGGAAAATTCAGGAGTTTTATTTAGTATAATTCCTATTTATTTATGTTTTTTCTTACCCTGACTAAGCAGTTTTGTACAAAACTGTTCTGTATTGTTTTCTACTGAGCACTGGGAGTCACTGAAAATAGAAAACCCGGATTATAGTAAAAGAGATTACGTATGAGCTGTGGATGTAGTTCCTTTGGTAAAGTGCTTGACTTACATGTCAGAATATCTGAGTTGAGGCTCCAGCATCACACAGAATCAGGGGGGTGACCCATGCCTGTAATGAGCACTCAAAGGGTAGAAGCAATAGGGTCCAAAGTTCAAGGCTAGATGCAGCTACAAGTAGAGATCAAAACCAGCCTGCTACATGAAACTCAGAAAGAAAAATTATGAAAAACCACACTGGACATGATCACCAATATTGTTAGTATGTTGGTGTGTGTATAAAATTCTTAAGAGAGTGGTATAAAGACTGTATAGTGTATGTCTCACCAATTTTTCCTAATTATGTTTATGTAGCATTTGTCATGAAATTTTTATAGGCACATTTTAAATTACTTTTTATTACGTGACATTTTAGTTGTTTTATAATTTTCCTTCTTAAAATGTAATACATTTCCTACAGATGTGCATATATTTATTTGATTTTAGTCATCTGATTATTTACACAAGATATGTTCAATATTCCAGGACAGAATATCCTTGATAAAGAATTTCTAGGTTCCCCTTAATGCCTGTGGCAGGTGGGGTGAGCTGGTTTTGAGGTCATGAGAGCTTGAGTGTGAGTTCTGACCCTGCCCCTCTCCTGGGTCCTGCACCTCTTGGGCAGCACAGTAGAGCTGAACCTGGTGGTGAAGGCCTAGGTGAGCCAGCTCCAAGGGAAATGAGAGCTGGAGAGCTGACCTTGCCCCTTACAGTGAGATAGCCAGGGTAATGCTGAAGAGGTCGCCCTGGTGGTACAGACATAGGAGAGCTGGCAGGCTGATCAAGTCAGCTACTTCCCAGGCCCAGATCCAGGGCATTGAGCTGACCCACCCCAACATCTGCCCCATCTTTGATCCGCTGGAGGGTGTGAAAAGGCCGTCCTGCAGATCCAAAGCTGCAGGATCTCGGTGACTCGGGGCAACAGCAGGATGTTTTAGAGGATTCCCTGTGAGGATCCAGTATAGAGAGTGTAGCAGAAACCAGAGGCCTCAAAACAGACCAACAACTCATTGTAATGAGGTAAAGATGTGTGGACAAGAGTATACTGTATGAGACGTGACTTGTTAGTATGACAAGACTTTTTTAAAATTCTATCTTATTTTATTTTGGGGGGATTACAAGGGTGGAGGGTGGATATGAAGGGACAGGGAGATGGGTGGGGTTGGGGGGGCATGATATGTAATTTACAAAGAATCAAAAGAAAATGTTTTGAGGACACTGGATAGTGATAAAAATTAATTGCTCACCCTAAAAATTTCCATTTAAATTCCCACTAGTGATATTTGTGTTGACTTTCAGCTCTTAAAGCCTTACCTTTTGAAAGTATGTATTTTTATTCATTTATTTAATATTTCATTGTGTGTGTTTGTGTGTGTGTGTGTGTGTGTGTGTGTGTGCGCACACACACGCGTGTGTATTCAATTCCCAGCACCCACATGGCAGCTCACTACCATCTGCAACTCCAGTCCCAGGGGAACCACTGCCCTCTTCTGGCCTTCATGCGCAGTGTGTGAACACACTGAATGTACACAGATGAGGGCAAAACACCTCTGTACATTTAAAGAAAGAAAATGCAAAATACAGAGTGTTTTCCCTTTTCATTGTCTTTTATAGGCCAGTTGAGATTAATACTGTGCTTTTTTGATAAAGCAATAAGTCTTCTTCTGGGACACCTGTCATTACAGGAGCTAGACTCTCTCCAGCTAGAAAACGAACATGGTTCATGGACTTTACATCCCAAGAGTGAATCATCCACAAGGTTGTCTGACCCCATCAACCATGCTAGCAGCTTTGGCTTTCTTGCTGTCTTACCTCCTATTGAGTTCTTCTTTCTAAGACCACTTTCCTTGAAATGTTAAAGAGCTGCAGCATTTGGAACAGGAGGGTTTAAAGTCTCGTTTGTGTTTAGACAACATGGCACCGGTGTGGCTTATACAGTATTGGATATGATACCTAAGAGCAGCCACTCGAAGACTATGAGTCAGCACAAAACAGCTTATACCAGATTGACCCCCAAAGTAAATAGCAATGCAGTCTGTAATGTAACTATTCTAGCAGAATGCCCCTTTATGGCTTTGCTTGTTTGTTTTGTTTTTGTATAAATATGATCTCGATGTCAGAGACCTTCACCTCTACTTTCAAAATCCTGCCTTTTGTCTTATCTGTAGGCCTATGTGCCTAACTCCATGAAGCATTGGTCTATGCGTGTTTCTGTGTCTGCCTGTATGTAGTCCATATGTGCCAGCACGTGCCTGGGTACCTACAGGCAGCTGCCTTACCTAGCAGCCTGTGTGCTGGTAAGTAATGTCTTACCTGCCCTTGGCTCCTCATAAGCTCCTCAACCTTGAATCTCTTCAACCTCAAATCTTCCCGTGACCATCTGCCTTTCCTGATATCAGTGTTTAGTCCTCACACACGATTAGCATCTTGGTGTTACAGAGTACAGAGCTTAAGGTGCATGCCCAAGATTGGAAGGAGTGAGGTGGATAGGGACTCTGGCTTCAAACAGTCACCAGCTCAATGACATAGCAGGACCCATTCAGGCTAGAGGGCTTGCCGCTACTACTTTTAAGGGACCATAGGTAATGCTAGTGGGTATTCAGCACTGAAGTCTATTGAAATGTCTTTCTCTTTTTGGATGATGGTCTCAATTCTACTAAACGGAGTGGCTGCAAAGTGCAAGGAGTGAAGAATTGATTAAGCGTTTCTGCAGCCCCGATTATCAAGTTGACTGCTTCTCCAGAAGAATGGCTCACCTAGTTCCCTCTTCATATTAGCAACAGCTGATACCCAGGGCTTCCCTTGACATCACTGTGCTTATATCGCCCGTAGTCTAAACACGGAAACTCATTGTCTTCTGCTTCCCACAGTCGACACACTTAGCCTTCACGTGTGTACAGGTGCAGATGCTATGGATACAGGCAGAGTGGGTGTTCTCTGGGGGCCGAGATTTCCCCACTGCCTTTCACTTGTACACACTGTCTGAACCCCCTCTAGGTGAGGTTTCTCACTGTGATGTGGGTGTGGTATGAGAGCATCTTTGTATGGGATTTGGTAAGCGTTAAGCTCACAAAACGTTAAAACCAATGTGTAGCAGTTAGTGTAGGCCCAATGAATGCGACCTTCCATAAAGGTGTGCCCATAAAGGTTAGGTGAACTGGACAGGTAAACTGGGCCCACAAAGCCCATTGTAGATATTAGCCCCATCCCTAAAACCCACATACAAGTTCCAGTCCTCTGAGACTTTGATTTTCAGCTGTAGTGTTGGAAATATTTCATGTTATTCATGCAATAGTTTAAAGATAAACGTAGAAATTAGAGAATATTCAAAACCAGGGATGAGTTCAACTTACTTCAAGCTCTAATCCTGCCAGCTGTGCTGTTACAGTGAACAAACAGACAAAATCTTACCCTTTAAATTTTGGTGTAAGAATGGCCCAGCTGCAAAGATCTTTAGCAGAGTTTTTGTTGTTCTAAGAGACGAACTTAGTCAGAAAAGGAATTGGCTCTCCAGGGACTAGTCTAGCGACAAGCGAATAGTGAGCTTGTTAAGATGACCGATTCAAATTTTGCTGTTTCTTCACAACAGATTAAATAGAAACGAGTGATTCATACTCCATACATGCACATGGCTTTGGTGTTGTGGTTTATTTTTCAGATGGGAATTAATGTGGTGGACTCCGCTGTCTCTGGATTAGGTGGCTGCCCTTATGCAAAAGGTGCTTCTGGGAATGTAGCCACTGAGGATTTGCTATATATGCTTAATGGCATGGGACTCAATACAGTAAGTTCTTTTAATGTGTTTTAATAGCCATGCTCCCTTTTCAGGTTCAAACAGGAATATTTTCTCAAACTTGAAAAAGAACTGAGGTCAAAGTTTTATTACATGTTTGCTATTTGCTATAATCTACAGAAAAAAAAAAACTCACAATGGAAGAGTTTCAGGGGCTTTGTAAGTGCTTATTGCCGCTGTAGCAAGGCTACCAGGACTACCAGGAGTGTTCTCGTTCCATGTTATAAAGTTTTATGAACTCTGAAGTATTTTTCCATATATTATCTGCTTTGACCTTGCATACTTACTGTGCAAAAGCTCATGTCTTTGCTATTATAATGCTTTTATATATATATATATTAGTTTTGCTTTTAGTATGGATCCTCAGAGAAGCTGAGATCCTCAGTCAGATTGGGATTCTGTTGGCCTGGGGCTTCTGACACCTTGCAAATGGTCAATGGAAGAGCAAAGGTTAATTAAACTTGACATGTAAAACACTGGGCCACAAAAAGCCTCTTTCCATGTACCTTAAAATGTAGGTCTTGCATGCTAACACCTACCGCAGACAACACTGAGCTTTCTTTATGCATAGTAACAAAATCTACAAGCACAGGGGAGAGTCCATTTTATGGAAACTATGAAAAGCAAGAAAACCATTCTGAGACGATTGGACATCCAAACCATCAAAGCATCAGTCAGCTTACCGAAGAAATCTCCCCCTCTCGCCTCCTGCCTGTCCAGTCCTACTGTAACTAGATAAGTGCTCCTATGGTACCCAACTCTTCTGTCATTCCATTCTGTTCTCTACTGCTTTCCCCTGTTTATGCTTTCATTGCAGCTCTGGGTGGTCATTTACATAACATCTCATTCCATTTAGAAAGTGAGGTACAGCCAACTGGTCCACCTCTAGCATCTCTCTCTGTCTGCATCCCAGGTAAAGCTGTAAGGAACTTGGTGATTCCCTGGAATTCTGTACTTTCATTTGTTCATGCTCCCCAGAGTTGTATCATGATACTGTTTATTCTTCTAGCTTCCTGTGCAGCCAAAATGCAACCATTATAGCTTATTCCTGCTCAGTGTCTGTAACATGAAGATGCTCAATAAACATTTATTGAGATTTTTACCTGGCACCAAAGAGAAACAGCTGTTGTCTATAAACAACAAAATCTATTACTTATCTTCTCTGTATGAAAGTAGCAGCTTACTTATACAGTGGCCTAGTCATTGTTTTAGAAGGCAGTGACTAGAAAGTAGAGAGAAACGGGTCCTTTCTCAGAGCTTAAGTGGTGAGTTAAGTTTAATTAACAACCAGTGTTAAACATGTTCTGTAACTTTCAGAAAGTCAAATGTCGCCCTAAGAATTTCTTCGGTTGAGGAGGATTATAGCATGGAGGAGTGCACAGGTAGCCTGGATCACAGTCCCAGTTAGTTACCAAAATCAAGTAATTATAGGACCCTATCTCTTCTCCATGTGTTCATCTCCTGCATTCCTTGCAGTTCTAGCCTTGCATTTGTGTTCATCACTACCAGAAGACTTTATCTGCACCGCAAGGGTGCACAGACCGTGCTTCTGCTTCTGCACCTGCCAGGGAGCTTATATTTCCTCTAAACAAAGCTAGAGCACACTCTGGCCTGTTGGTACCTTCTCCGTTAAAAGCGATATTGGTGACAGGTTTTCCCATGTTACCCAAGTGCACATGACTCTCCTGTTCCTCCTCAACCTCCACATATCCTGTGCTAGTTTTTTTTTTTTTTTGGGGGGGGGGGGGGTTCTTTTTTTTTTCTTTTTTTTTTTTTTTTTTTTTTTGGGGGGGGGGGTGTTACTTTTCTTTGCCTATGTAGCTTCTTACTTCCATCACCACATAAAATACAAGTCAGAACTGGACCTTTATCACCTCTTCCCTGATATGTTCTCTCTATTCTTTCCTCATGAATTACTTGGTCTTTTCAGTCACTTGGACATATCTTTCCCAATAGACTTAAGTGTAGGGCAGACATTTATGAGTCTGTAATTGCCCATGTACACATAAGCTTCATGAACACAAAATAGTATACAATCTGTGTGAAACCTCACAGCATATCATGTGAATTTCTAGATATCTGATAAATGATTTAAGATTAAATACAGTACTTTTATAACCATATCAGTTAATAAGATGAAGTTATAGAGAAAGACCAAAACAAATTTTCCTTGAGATAATCTTAGCATATTTTATGCATAATCATTAGAAATCGAATTTGTACAAAGTTAAAGGAGCTTTAATGACTAAAATATTCCATCAAACCCTTGCTGGATTAAATTCAGAAATTTAAGACATAAGAAGCTATTTAGATAATATTGGATTAGGAATTTAAATTAAAATATAGACTTAGAAGCTCTATGACAAAAACAAATTTCCCAAGTCAAAAAGAATGTTGTTATCCTGAAAACACATCCATAATGTGAAAGAAAAAAAAAGGTTGTTTAAAAGAATAATTTTACAAAACTTTTTGTTGTTGTTGTTGTTGTTGTTTTTCGAGACAGAGTTTCTCTATGTAGTCTTGGCTGTCCTGGACTCAATTTGTAGACCAGGCTGGCCTCAAGCTCACAGAGATTCACCTGCCTCTGTCTCCCTGAGTGCTGGGATTAAAGACATGTGCCACCATGCCCAGCCACGGAACATTTCCTTGACCATTATTAAAAAGGGAAATAACAAAGAGTGTTCTGAAACATCTCTATAAAGAAAAATTAAAATGAGCATGTTATAAAAAGCTTTGTGAGTTTTCATTCTTGGCCAATTCAGGAGAAAATCACAAACATTTAAAACAGCTCCTAGCAATTTATTAGCAAAGATTAACTGTAATTGTTAGTCCTCGCCGTTTCTAGTTCATGTTGAAGAAAGATGCAACCTTATGAGAGATGCTGCGTGAGGGAAACTAGACAATGGACACTCCCACAATGTGTCTCTCCTAGTTGCAATGAAAGTGCTGGGTAAAACACCGTCGTTACTCCAGGCCCATAGATGAGGAACACGCCCTGATCTGAAGCTGGCCTTCACCTTTACACCAACTGCGATCTGTCGTTCATGAATTTTCCTGTGCCTCAGTTGCTCTTACGTATCATTTCAGACAGTACAAAGCATCAGGCACGGTAGGTTCCATTGTATACTAAACACTGTTCATTTTCTCTGCCTTACAGGTCCTCATTTTTTATCGTGTCACAATTCTGATTCTGTATATGGTTAAAAAACATTCCTCTTTCCTGGAATCCATATAAAATTATCAAGTTTGCTTCTCTATAAAGGATAAAGACATTATTTCTAACTCTGAATTTCTCCAATCCATTATTACTTTATTTTCTCTTTCCTCAAATTCTGCTGTTGTCCTTCTTAAACATTAGAGATGCTTATGAATTATGCCTTTATCCAGAGGTGTCTCCTCCATGTCATGTTTTAATAAAGTGGAACAATCTAAAACATTGCCTACATTGTGGAAATAAATGTTGATCTGAACTGAAAATAAGCAAAACGATGTCTCATAATTTTAAACAGTTAAGCAACTACAGTAAGATAAGAATTCACTTTACCTGTTTTTTTTTTTTTTTTTTTCCTACTTCACTCTAATCCCCCTTATAACTCCTGCTGTCTTTTCTTTTCCTTGCCAGGGTGTGGATCTCTACAAAGTGATGGAAGCTGGTGACTTTATTTGCAAGGCAGTGAACAAAACCACAAACTCTAAAGTCGCACAAGCCTCCTTCAAAGCCCGACTTGAATGAATTCATCATTTCAGGGTGGGAAGATCCATTCCAGTCCCAGGTCGTCACAGAATCGTTAATACCAACTCATTCTGAAGTGGGAATTAAAATTAAGAATCAAAAAGAGACAGGAAAGAAGATACGCTGGAGAAGCTTATCACGGGGGAGACGGGGCAGATGCGGGGCAGAGCCAGGCATCTGTTGAACAGCAAGCTGGGGATCAACACTGATGGCCTTTCTTTCAGATGCGGACAAAGCCCGCTCGTTTGGTCATGCAGAAATCTTCTAATTCTTAGCTTAGTAGACTTGAAAATTGACTTCAGATTTCTCCAAGTATCAAGTACCGTGTTAATACTTCATCAACCCAGCTTGCCACAGGGCACTACGGACCGTTAGTAGTTTACGGGCCCCAGCGCGTTGCAGAGTGTGTGGCCCTGATGGGTTTTCTGCCTCCGGATCCCAACTTTTCCACTTGCCAAGTTTGTTAAGTTATGGACCAAGAGCCAAAGTTTCAACTGACCCCACGTAATTTCTAGCAATAGAACTTTTATATTTCAAGGACGGCTAACATCTGTTAACCATTTCAACAACTTTACCGTGCTCCAAGAGGCTGTGGTCAGTGGCAAGCTGCCACATCCTGAAAACACATCATACCTCCCATGTTTGTTCCATGCATCAAGTTTGCTGTGTTTTACATTGAATTAGTTGTAGAAAAAAAAAAAAACCCCACAGTGTTATTTAAATATAGAGAAACTATAAAGTATCTCTTTTATCCTGGTATCTAAGAGACAGTAATGATAAAAGGCTGATGTGGACACCATGATCTATTTCCATTATATCTAGTTTACTTCTGAATTGCGCAAGAAAATACTGCCATGATTTGAAGAATGTTAATGTAATTTTCAACTGATGAGAAGTCTGTTTCCATTGACTCTATGCTATATCTGTTTATTTCTGTTTGACCGTAGGATGTTTATTTTAAGTTCAGTGGCAGAAATATTATCTATTGTGCCAAAAAGCATTGCCAGGGATAACAGAAATTAATACATCGAAGATCAAGGCCTGGGGACATGGCTCAGTGCTTAAGAGCACTGGCTATTCTTCAAGAGGACATGGGTTCAATTCCCAGCCCCCACATGGTGATTCAATACCATTTATAACTCCAGTTTGGGGGGATCTAATGTCTTCTTCTCACCTCTGCACAGTACACAGCACACAGGCATATGTGCAGATAAAACATCCATAAACATAAAATATCTTGGACTTCTTAGAAAACAGTAAAAATATTGAACTAAAAACATTCCAGAAAATAAGGATACTGATTAGAACTAAGCTATCACTAAAGGTGTATGTTAGGGAAAAGAAAGAATGGAAACCTGTGGGTTGACAATTTCCCTGGAAGACTCCAACTTGTCACCTTGTAACCTGGTTCTGTGCCAGCCTGCTCTCCTCCTAGAGTACTGGAAGCCGTTCTGTGCTCGGAGGTTAGGTTGGAATGTAGATGACTCAGAGGCAGCAAAGCTGCAGCCGGTCATGGAGCTGCCTCAGTACCTTCTCCCCACACTCCTCTCTCGCAGACCAGGGTACTGACAGATGGTGGCATCAAATACGCCCATCCTTCCATCTTCGGAGGAAATGGATTCTTCCCTTTCAGAGACATGGGGTGTTCCGTTTTGATATATTTGTGAAAGCACATGTTCATGCAAACTGCTTTTTGAAAATAGTGACCAGCATTGTTTTGAAACGAATTGGGAAGTTCTTCTGAGGACAGAGCAAATAGAAACCTCAGTGCAGTGTCACACGGTCACACGGTGCCCACCTCAGGGCACCAGCTGACTTTCATGACAACCTTGATTTTATCTAATTACATTCAACACAAACTAGTTCATGTTTTAATCTCCTCCTCTCTCCTTATAGTGTCTGACGTTCTTAGGAATAATCCTCTCAACACATCCAGGAAACCTTGTAATCATTTCAGGACCCATTGGCGGGGGGGGGGGGGGGGGAAGGACAAACAAACAAAAAAAACCTCATCCATACATGATTTGATACCAACTCTTGCTTTGGTTCTACCTAGATAGGCATAAGAATGACGAAGCAGATATAGATTTTATTGAAATGTAAATGAAAATAATCTTTTCTTAAGTTAAGAAGAATATTTATCCTGTATCCTGGAAATTGAAGTGCATTTTATCGTACAGAGGTGTTGCTGCTCTATAGACAAATATGTTAGAAGTGCTCTGTGGCTTCTGAGCTGGGGCTGTTGCCAAGCAGTAGTTCACTGTAGTCAGGATGTAGAAGGATCTGGGTTTGATCTCCCAGCTCAACAAGCCAACAAGTAGAAATAATTTTGCTTTCTGAAAATTAAAATTCTGTAAATCTCATGTTCATGAACTCAAAGCAAACAAATTTAATCTGCTGGTAATTTTCTAGTAAAATCAATGTTCTTCTATGCTAAAATTCAATTTTTAGCATTTTACTTACTATAAAATTTAATAAAGACATTTTTCGTTTTATTTTTATGGCTCTTAATTTCTACATATATGCTCTTAATTTTAATAATCTATCATATTCTATTATCTAAGCAAGTAATTCTCACTATGAGTCAAAGGATTCAGCATTGAGTAAATAATTTATAAATATTGTTCCTTTCATATGTAAATATGTAAGAACTAAAGACTCTTAACCAAACAAATGTGAATTAAAACAATAGACAAGGAATGTTCCAGTAAATGTCCATGATCATTTTGCACTATGGACTGGAAGATACGGATTTTGTGACTGAATGAGGTAGACGCAAAAGTGGAGAGAGAAAGGGAGAGAGAGAGTACAAAGAAGGGCCATAGAAAATAGGCAGATGGAGAGAAGGGAAAGAAGGAAAGAAAGCTAAAACAGTCTAATTTTTGCCAATGAATACCTTGTAAACAGGCATATTATACCACATTGGGCCACGTTAGTTAGTGTATTTTAAACTGTAGGTGAGAAGAAAAACCTGAAACAATCATTTTTCAAACTCACTTGCCTGACACATACTCAGAATTTGCTTTTCCACCACTGTTTAACTCAGCGGCTCATTCATGTTACAAGTACCTTTTTCACCCTCAGGTGTAGTTTACCTCCAGACACTGGCTCCTGAGTGCAAGCTCATTGCAGTTCTTCAAGCCTTGACTTCCACACAGACTTCAGGATGCTACTGTCAAAGTACAGTATACGCTTACACCTTCCTAAACTTCCTCTCATGTTTCACTGAGCAGCGTATCATTACAAGCCCTTCCTAAAGACATTTATTTTCATAGGACTAGACCAGGAGGATAGACTAAACAGGCATCTGGGAGCAATCAGTAAAGATGGAAATATTGCTATGGTGAGAAAGGAGAGAGGTTAGCTTATAATCCCAAGGAAGAAACCTGTATCTAACTGCTTTGAGACAGGTGGGAGGAGGAACCATTTTCACTTTAATGGTGTGGACTTTTAATGTGGGGCATTATTGTCTAGCAGGTCTTGATCAAGTTTGGTTCTTCGGCTTTTTTTTTTCTTCTTTTTGTCAGTTAAAAATTAAAAGATAGAAAAAAAAATATCACCAGGGAGCAGGAAATCCTCAAACACAGCAGACAGCAGCAGACAGAATCCATCAGAGAAAAGAGTTTTTGTTAGCAGACGAGGAAACATATATATATATATATATATATATATATATATATATATATATATATATATATATATATATATAT